CACTCACACATGTCTCTGAAGGACCCGAGTGGCCCTCACCACCCACTTCTCCAGGCAGTTACCCTGCCTGCCCCATCTCTCACAAGGTGCCCACTCCACCTCCAATCACAGCACCTGGCATCAGGTGAGCCTGGCATTGGGTGACGTGCGGTCCTTTAACACCTGCAAGAGGTGCAGGGGGACCAGCTTGAAGTATTTCCCCTGGCAGGGCAGGGCCCTCACCCTGAGCATGCCCAGTGTTTGGGACCACGTCATTCATTCTAGCTGGAGAGGCTTGGAGGGTGTTGAGCTGCATCCTTGGTTCTGTCCCCACTAGGTTCCAGGAGGGCTCCTTCCCCACCCCCCAAGACCTGCACTCATTTGATTTCCAGATAACTGCCAAATGCCTCCCCCTCAATGCTAAGTCCCCCACGCCCCCCGCCCCGCCTGACTGGAAATGAGCAGTTCAGTGTTTGGGGGTGCTTAGGATCAAGCCTAGAGAAACTGCCAGCCCAGCTAGAAGTCCACAGGGTTACAAGGCTGAGAAAAGCAGGGCTTGGCTGGGAGCATAAATGCCACAAATTCCTCAGGATTCACAAGCACCTTTGAGGTGGGCTTGCCAGCACTACTAAGTATTTCTGTGTTGTAAAAATGGTGTGTTCAAATGACCAAGCCCGTCCTTGCCACTCGGAGCACTGCAGTACAGCAAGTCTCTGCGGCAAGCACGGCAGGTTCCTGCGCCGTCGCTCTGCAGCAGAGCCGACTCGGAGGCCCTGGAGCTTCTGATCGATCAAGCACAACCAAGTGTGTTGCTGGGCACTGCTTCAGAACAAGCGACACAGGCTTGTAGAAATCCGAGCAGAAGACATGGGCAGGGGGCAAAGAGAATGGGGTCCTACTGATTCATCCCCTCCCCACTTCCTATTTTGCACGGGGTGGGGCTGGTGCTCTGTGGGTGCAGTGCCCAGGCAGAGATGGGGGAAGTCAGGACAGATTGCTGTCTCAGCTGTGGTTTTTCTGCTCCTTCACTTGAGGGGAAACTTTGCTCAGACACAGTGACTCCCAGGCGCTTTGCAAGGGCCCCCAAATAAATAAACACAGCCTGAACCCGCTGCCTTCCCAAGACCAAGACTGGAGGCGAGGTCCCATCAGCGCCTTCGTTGTCTTGGCCCACAGAGGCCAGCCCAGAGAACCGTTGCTGGCCTCGGTGCCAGCCAGAACCCTGCCTCCCAGGGGCCCTGAATTCAAGGCACCTGGAAGGGTTATTAGCAGGATTGGAACTCATCCCTCTGCTGGGACCGGATCATAATTACAGTAATTTTCTAACAGAGCTCAGCAGTAGGACTGTTTAATCAGCATCGGACTCCCTTGTGCTCCCAGCCCTCATCACTCAAGGAGGAGTGGGATGGCTCTTAAAGAGACAGTGCCCGCCTTTCAGTGTTTTGAACAGATGTGGCCTAATTGGTAGAATATATCTAAGTCTTGTAGGTTAGAGCAAGCATTTTGCATGGCCTCCAGAAAACCGCCTAAGGTGCTCACTCTTCTGGGCCTTCTGCTGGAGGGTTTCGGGGGGCTGCTGGAGGCCTGGTTTCCCTTCCCAACAAGACCACCAGAATGAAAGACCACCTGGAGCTAGGGCTTGTAGGGGAAATCTGTACTATGGGCCTCTTCTAAATGCGTGGGGGGTTTTTTGGGGGTTTTTTTTGGGGGGAGGGGGTTGGGGTCACACCCGGCAATACACAGGAGTTACTCCTGGCTCTGCACTCAGGAATTACTCCTGACGGTGCTCGGGGGACCATACAGGATGCTGGGATTCGAACCCGGGTTGGACGCGTGTAAGGCAAACTCCCTACCCACGGTGCTATCTCTCCAGCCCCTAAATGCATGGTCTTAAGGGACGTTTGCCTGGAAATCAGGAAGAAGGAACTGGGGTTTTGTGTGGTTTTTTTTTGGAGGGGGTGGGAGTGGAGGGCAGGTGCGGGGTGGGAGGGCCACCCGTACTCCTGGGTTTGCGATCATAGATCACTCCTAGCAGGCTGGGGGACCATATGGGGTGCCAGAGATATAACCTGGGTTGGCCGTACCTACTATACTTTCCAGCTCCAAGCCTACTTCGCATGAGGGAGGAACCTGTTTTCCTCCTCAAGAACTTATTTCTCTATAAAATGTGAGGGCTGGCCGCTGAGGGTAAGCCAGAGGCACGCTGCGTTTATTGTAAACAGTTCCTGAGAGAGAAGCTGGGGATGGTAGCAGACAAGAGAGAAGAGGTAGATGATGGGGACGGGGGGGGGGGGGGTGGGTGGGGAGTGATGAACTCCAGGAAAGAAGGTAGAGGGGCAAAGAGAAGAGTAAGGTTACTGCTCATGCATTGTTCAGAGAAAGGTTAAATTGTCCTCTCCACACCCTGCCCTCTGCAGAGCAGAGTTCTCGCTGGCAGGAGGCCCAAGAGAGGGTGCGGGAGGCTCAGTGCCCAGGCTTGAGGGAAGAAGTCGCTATCTCACACCGCAGTGCTTACTGCTTGGCTTGAGTTGCGTCTCAGCTGGCTGCTTGCACATAAATCCGCAGATGCCGCCCAGCCAGAGAAGGCTGGTGCTGCCTTCAGGACGCAGTTTGGGAGTGTCTCCATGTCTACCTCTGGCCCCACTTCAAGTGCTCCTGCCCACTCTCCTCATCGTCCCGAGGCTTGTAGAAGATTCAGTAAGATGGGGCTGCAGAAGTACCTGCCTTGCATGTTTGAGGCCTGGGATTGATCCCCGCACAGGGTTCCCTGAGCACTGCTGGGTATGACCCATTACTCGCTCCCCCCCTCAAAAAAAAGCCCAGAAGATTCAGTAAGAACTGAGGTACACAAGTAAAGGAAAACACAGGAAAAACCCAGACACTGACATGGTTGAAATGTTATGCTCGATCCCAGCAAAGCTCCCAAAGTGGGTGGCAGATGCCTAGGTCTTGGGACTGAGGGAAGATCTGCAAGGGATCATTTCCCCTTCAATAGTGGTAGGTCTGTTTTAACGTTTTAAAAAATCTGTTGTTTGCTTTCAGGGGAGGAGGTATATGTGTAAAACCTTGTAGAGCATAGAGGGTACCTCTCACAAATAAATTCTACTACTGTCTGAAAATGTGTTTTAAAGAGGCTGGAGCAATAGAATAGTGAATAGAGTGAATTCATCTGCCCTGAACACAGCCAGCCCGAGTTTGGTCCTCAGCATCCCATATGGTCCCCTGAGCATCTCCAGGAGTGATTCCTGAATGCAGAGCCAGGAGTAACCCCTGAGTATCGCCAGGTGTGGCCCCAAAACAAAAAACAAAACCAAAGAAAAACAAAACAACCCCATGTTTTAAAGACTCCACCCAGCTCAGTTTCCTCACAGACAGTGAATGTAACACTCACCCTGTTCTCCTGATTGAGTCCCAAAGTCAAATAAAATGATGCCCATGAGAACTAGAGAGAAAGCTGAGCACATGCTCTGATCCCTGGCCCCTGAGGACTGAGCTGGGAGTAGCTCCTAAGCATTTCCAGGTGTGGCACAAGAAACAAAGATGCCCATGAAACATTTCATATAAGAAAAACCAACTCCCCCAACCCCCCCCCCCCACACACACACACACCCCGCATCCTCCAAAATAAAACCCATGTGCTTGGAAACACTTAATTATGAACACACCCACTGGAGGAAGGTGACACAGAACCTACCTGGCACCTAAACTCTAACCAAAAACCCTTTCATTGTGCAAATGGGGCCAGAACAATAGCTGATGTATCAGGTAGGGTGTTTGCCTTGCACACAGCCAAACCTGGATTCAATCCCCAGCATCCCTTATGGTCCCCCCCAAAAACCCTGCAGGAGTGATTCTTGAGAGTCGAACCAGGAGCAAGCCCTGACCACCAGATGTGGCCACCAGACCACGCAGTGGCTCACCCCCACAGAGAACAAGGCCTGCCATCCTTCACTGTGGCAGGACCTCGGTGCATGCAGAGTCAGAGCAAAGTGGGAGGGCCCGGGGCGCTGCCTGGGTGGAGAGCAAAGCCCAGCACTGCTGCTCTCCTGTAACCCCAGAGCCTGGTTATCGCCTCTTCCTTCTCAGAACATCTCCCGTGGCCTCCACTCGGTCCTCTACAAGCTTGCGAGGGACGCCTCAGATTAACTGAGGTGCTGCTGTAGGCGCTGCTGTTCATGGGTCATTAAGAGAGCCAGGAGTCAGAAAAATCACATCCGTGTCTGTGAATGGCTCCTGCTGTCCCAGCAGCCTACCCTGCTGGCAGAACTTGCTGCTGAGCATCAACTCCAAGACGAAAAGACGGAACAGAAGAGGACCGAGCGAGCTTGCTGTTTTTTGGCTGAGTAGGGAATTGACACAGACCACCTCCGGCTCCTGTCTGGAAGTTTCGAGATCAGAGAGCTTCAGGCACAGCTGGGTTCACAGCTGCACCATTTGGAGCATTGGACTCATTAATATTCATGAGTCGTCCCCACCAATCGGCAGTACGGATGCCATTAGCTTAGCATCTGTCGGGTTTTTGTGAGGGTTGTGTATGGAGGGTTTTTTTTTCCCCTTTTAAATGAACTTCTTTTGACATTTTGGATTTGCCTCTGTAGATTTTCTCTCCTCGCCTTGCTCTGCTGCATCATATAAAGGAGAGGCCCAGGGGAGGCGGGCAGGAAAGAGGGATGAGTCCCAGCCAGGGCTCTACATCTGCCTGTTGACAAACTTTATTTCTCTTTCAGCACCTGGCACCTCAGACAGGCGGCAAGGAGGGGAGCAGCATCAGGTAAATTATACCTAACAAGGTGCCTGCCCAGAGCTGCGAGGAGCGGGAAGCGCTGGGCCCGGGCTCTGCGGAAGGCAAGTCCTTCCGCCGGTGCTGAACTTGAGCTGCACACACAATGCGGGGAATTGCAGCACACAGCTCTGCACCATTATTTCCACGCTGATAAATCCATGATTTATGAAAGGAACCACTGCCAGCCCTCACTCCCTCTTCGGCTACAGCTTGTTAGACACAAATTGCGACAACAGTCTTAAATACTTGAATTTTATTTCAGGCCAAAGCCCCTCAACTCTGAACTAAATGCCACGGCAGTGCCGCCGCCTCAGCCACGAGGAGGAGCAGTTGGGGCGCCCGCAGACCGGGCGGGCGGGCCGGGGAGGAGGGGGCGAGGAGAATGCACGGGAACCTCAGTGCAGAGCAATACAGGGTGCCCGCGGCTCTCTGCTCCTCGGCGGAGAGGAATTATGGCAGCGGGAGGGCAGAACGCCTCATTGTCTGACGGAAGCCGTGCTGTTCCTTGTCACCATCCCCAGAGCCCTCTCTCCAGGCAGAAACAAAGCCCTTGCGCCCCACTGGCCTGAACAGCGCTCCCTGCAACCCAGCAGAGGGACCAGAATGCTGAAGACCTGCTGTCGCTAAGGAAGGAGAAAGAGGAGAAATGAAAGGAGCCCCCGGCTAATCCTGCAGGAAAGAGTCTCGACTCCCCTAGAAATGCAGAAAGACAGCCTTCTCTCCAACAACGCCCTGGAACTGCTGCCTCTGCTCGGATGGCTGGAAGCTGCTCTGCGGCTCTCAGGCCCTGACACGGTCCCACCTAAGGCTCTGCAGCATCACAGCGCCCACCCGTGCAGTACAAGAGGGTGGGAGAACATCCACTCCCAGGTCCAGGCAAGGAGGGAGGCAAGAGACCAACCTCCCAGGAACAAAACGCTGCAAGGGCTGCAGTCAAAGACCACTTCGGGGATGCAAATACAGAAGCATCTCAGCCCTGGGACAGTATTCAAAACAGCATCCAAAAATCTGCCCTGCCCAGGTCCCCACAACCAAGCTACCGAGGCGGTGTGCCTGGGCCCACCAACACACACCCAGAGACTTGGTTCCCAGGAAAACAGGCAGGGATTCCATTAAAAACCAACAGCGCCCAGAGCATATGCTCACCCACAAGCATGGAGTGGGGACTGTCACCACTGACCTCTGTGCCACTGGCCCAGGCAGCGGCCACTGTGAACACCGAAGCAGCCCCTCCTGCCCCGCCCCCACTTGAGCAAGTTGGCTTCCCAGCCCTCCTGCAGCCACCTCAGAGCACAGCCAGGAGCTCAGACCAAAGCTCCCTCTTCCAACGCCTTCTCCAGCTGAGCAGGGTCTAAAGGCACAGCACGGTCCCCCACCGTGGCCCTCCTCACGGGCTGAGGAGTGAGGGCTTCCTCCTTGGGTCTTGGGAAATGACAGCTCGATGGTGAGGAAGGGGACGTGAGCGGGGGGCTCTCCAAGGAAGGTGCCTCCGAGTCAATAACAGGAGCCCAGACTTTGAAATCATCCTTCTCTTCTCCTGGAGGCGGCGAGGGAGAGCTCCTCCTGCCTGACCTTGGAAGAAAGCAGCAACTGGAAAGAATAGGAAAAGGGACAAAACGGGCATGAACAGAAAAAACCAAAACGAACAAATCAACCAGTAAACAAATGGTGGCTGGTCTAGCAATACAAATTTTACTCGCCATAAGAAACGAAGGAAGGGGCCAGAGAGAAAGTTCAATGGGTGTAACACATATTTTACATGGGGAAGGTCAAGTTCAGTTCCTGTACCACTTGATCCCTGACCACTGCTAGGAGTAACCTTTTAAGTAAAGACCTTGGAGTAATTCCCCAGAACTGCCAGGTATAGCCCCAAATACCTCCCCACAAAAAAAAAAAAAAAAAAAAGAGAGAGAGAAAGGAAAGAAGTTGTAGAACACAATTAAACACGCTAAGTAAAAGAAGCAAAATCCCATATCTTTTTTTTTGCGTCACACTTGGGATTACTCCTGGCTCTGCACTCAGGAATTATGGTGTGTGTGTGTGGGGGGGGGGAACGGACACCATATGGGATGCTGGGAATCAAACTTGGGTCAGCTGCGTGCAAGGCAAACGCCCCACCCCCTGTGCTATCACTCCAGTCCCTCCCCCATATCTTATAGGACTTCACATGTGCATAATGTCCAGGCATGACAAATCCTTACATACAAAAATAGTTTGTAGTTCCCAAGGTCTAGGAATGTGGAAAATGGGAGTCTCTGCTGATGGGCTAAGACTTTTAGGGTGATGAAGATGTTCTAAAATTGACAATGGTAACAGTTTCACAGCTTTGTGAATAGACCATTGAATTGTAAAGAAAAAATGTTATGGTATGTAATTTCTATCTCAATAAAGTCATTTTAGAAAGAGGAATAGGATCAAGAACAGAACAGGAGGGACCGGGCAGCGGCGGCGCGCGTGTGGGTCAGCTCCGGTCCTCTCCGCTCCTCCGCCGTCATGCCGATGTTCGTTGTGAACACCAACGTGCCCCGGGCCTCGGTGCCCGACGGGCTCCTCGCCGAGCTCACGCAGCAGCTGGCGCAGGCCACGGGCAAGCCGGCCCAGTACATCGCGGTGCACGTGGTCCCGGACCAGCTCATGGCCTTCGGTGGCTCCAGCGAGCCGTGCGCGCTCTGCAGCTTGCACAGCATCGGCAAGATTGGGGACTCGCAGAACCGCACCTACAGCAAGCTACTGTGCAACCTCCTGAACGAGCGCCTGCGCATCAGCCCGGATAGAATCTACATCAACTACTACGACATGAACGCGGCCAATGTGGGCTGGAACGGCTCCACCTTTGCGTGAGGACCGTGCTCGCCCCTCCTGCCTGCCCCAGGCAGGCCCCACCACCCGCAGTATTGTGCCCATCCCCCAGCGACCCCACCACTCCTACCATCGGGAGAAATAAAACGGTTTGAACTTCCAAAAAAAAAAAAAAAAGAACAGAACAGACAATGGGGCCGGAGCAATAGTACAGTGGGTGGGGCGTTTGCCTTGCACACAGCCAACCTGGGTTAGATCCCCGGCATCCCATATGGTCCCCCGAGCACTGCCAGGAGTAATTCCTGAGTGTAGAGCCAGGAGCAACCCCTGAGCATCACCGGGTGTGACCCAAGAAAGAGAAAAAAAAAAAAAACAGGACAGCTAAGAAAGCCTCTCTCTTTTTCTCTAAGTTCCCATCGATGCCCCTGCCACCAGGCCCTGGGTAAGCATACCCAGATACCCTGTGCTCAGGACGATGTCCTCATCTGAAAAGCTCACAAGACAGTGACACTGGTTCAGTGTACCTGGCCATCCTATTTCATAATCATAGGTCCTAGAGTCTCAGAAAAGAGAGTTTCAGGACCCAGGAGACAGTACAAGAGGTAAGGCATTTTCTTTGCATGCAGCCAACCTCAGTACAATCCTTGGTACCACATGTGGTCCCCTGAGCACCACCAAGGGTCACTACTGAGCACAGAGCAACACCACGTATGGCCCAAATCCTTCCTCCATTAAAGAACAGAGACACCAGGAATAATTCCTGAGTACAGAGCCAGGAGTAACCCCTGTGCATCCCCAGGTGTGACCCAAAAAGCAAAAAAAAAAAACAAAACAGAGAGAGCTGGGGCCGAAGAGATCATATAGCAGGCAGGTGCTCACCTTGCTTTGATCCCAACATCCTCAAGCACCACCAGGAGTAATTTCGGAGCAAAAAACAAGGAACAAACTCTGGGTACTGCTAGGTGTGACCCCAAAACAAAAATGAACAAACAAACAAAAACAATGAAGAAAGCTTCAGTTACCTGTTCGGCTGGTCCCCTCTGGCCAGGAGTGAGGAGCCCTGCCTCTCTTCCTGGACCCAGCCACAGTTTGACATAGCATAGTGGAGAATGGCATCAGAAACAGTCATGGGGCCTCGGCCCTGGACACAGGCTTCTATCTCTGGCACCGAGAGCTGGCTTTGCAAGAAGAGGTGCAGCTGGCTATCGGAGAGGAGGACCACACTCTGCAGGACACTGGGACAAATGACAGTCATGCAATCAGTGTCACCCCAAGGAGTCACGATGCCCCACCCCCACCTTCTGAGGGGCTTCTGGCTCGAGTGAGCAGAGGCGTAGGGACGCAAAAAAAGGCCTCTCCCACAAAATGTGCCAATCCATCTGTCAAGGGGGCCATTCCGCCCTGAAACTGCTCCTGTCCCCACCCCCGGGCAGCCAGTGTGAGCCCTCCCCATCCCTCACTTTTCAAGGAAGTGCTGCAGGCCTTGTCTTCGCTTCTCTATGAACTCGTCGGAGCTGCCAAAGAAAGCCGACTTCCCGGGAAGTTCAGGTACAGGCCTGCAGGTCACATAAAGGCATCATTCAGGTAAGTGGAACAGCCATGACCATCATTCCAGCACCCAATCAACTCCCTGAAATGAGGCACAAATGAATACAAGTAACTTTTAGTAAGGCCGGGGGGACTGAGGCGGGGGAAAGGGGAACCTTACATGGACTAAACATCTCATGTGCATACCAGGCCCAGGGCTGAATGTTTACAAACCTCATTTTATTTCATCTTTTCCAGAAGCCCATAACAAAGTTATTGGGGGGTCCCCATTTTAATAGTAAGGAAATAGAGGCCAGGGAGATAGTACAACAGGTAAGGCGTTTGCCTTGCACACGGACGACACAGGTTCGATCCCCAGCATCCCACATGATCCTCTGAGCCCACCAAGAAGGATCTCTAAGCAGCACCAGGTGTGGCCCAGGGTGTGAATCAGGGATAAGCCCTGAGCAGCACCAGGTGTGCCCCCAAAACCAAAAATAATAATAATAAAATAGAATTAGAGGAGTTTTATAATGTCCTAGTTCACACAACCAGAAAGCAAGTGGATGACTTCCAAACCCCACGCAGCCATACTCCACAGTCTACAAACCCACTCCATCAGTTTCACTTCAGAAACAAAGCCCCCTGAGCACTGAAACAGAAATCACTGAGTCTATGTAAACTACATTCCCAGCTCCAGTTACATGCCTGGAGTTTTCTAAGCTGATTCATAGCCAGTTTCTCCTCAAACCACCTTGGTGACTCTTATGCAGCACAGTGCTTTAAAACTAACTCTCCCTACCAACATTTAATTCTTGAACCCAGCTGTAGAAAGCAAATCACTTCACAATGCTTTTTCAGCATGTCTGATTTGGGGGGGGGGGGGTAAACTCTAAATAATAGTGGTGAATCTTTTATTGAAACAATGAATCTAATTAAAGCAGATAGAGTGTTAACTAGAATTCATCTGCCTCACAGGGACGAGGAGGGGTGGGGGGTGGGGTTTTATTGGGGTTCTTCATGGTAAAAAATAAGTATTGGTAAAAAAAATGTTATAGAACACTATTTTATTTGTTTCTGAAGTAGCATATTTTAATAAAATTTTTTACATGTTAAAAAAAAAAAACTAACTCTCCCTTCCTCTCTCTCTCTTATGCAGCACAGTACTTTAAAACTAACTCTCCCTCCTCCTCTCCCCTTCCCCCTCCCTCCCCCTTCCCTCCCTCCCTCTCCCCCTCCTCCCTGTGCAACAGGTGGGACCAGAAATTCCCACTAACTGCCGACCCATGAGCTGGCCTCACCACTCCCGCAGGAACTAACTGGTTATGTCACCACCAAGAGGCAGTCTGGTCGACCACTCGTCACTTCTGCAATGGAAACCACGGAATTTACTCAAGGGGGAGGTGACAAGTGAACAGCACTACTTTTTCTAAGGTTAGTCCGTATGTCTCGGGAAAGGGGCTCTGTGCTCTGTGCTCTGTACATATGAACTGAACACAACAGTGTTTGTTTTGGGCCTCCCAAGAGGTGCTCAAGGGCTAGGGCCACTACCGCTGAGAATGAGACAACCTGGAGGGGGCTTCAACACCAGGCCTGGAGGCTGCCGAGCCGAGCCTGTGCTCTGCGGTGCCAGGGGCCTTCAAGGTCCCCATGGCCATGCGTGGAAGCTTCCAGAGCTACACATTTGAACTTGGGCGCATTGTATATATCCCTGAGCTATTTCCCCAGCCACAATTTTTACCTATCACAAGGCAGGGACACCACCTGTGAAATTAGTTCAGAAGCTGAAAAATTTTGGTGACTAGTAGAAGGTACATCTGAAATGCTATCAGTATATTTGTTTCAACTAGTACAGGGGTTAAGGCACAACTCTAGCATGCAATAACCTGGTTCAACTCCCAGTACCACCAGGAGCAGCCCCCAGCATACAGCTAGACTCTTGACCATTGCTGGGTGTAGCCCCAAAACCAAAACAAACCACAGATAAACACATACACATATAATTTTTTTTTATTTTTTTTTCCCTTGCACGTGGATAACACAGGGAGTTATATCCAGGAATGCTCATGGCTTGGCTCTCCTCACTGCTCAGGGGTCACTCCTGGAAGAGCTCAGGGGATCATATGAAGTGCCAGGTATCGAATCCAGGTTGGCCACATGCAAGGCAAGTAAACTCATGTACTACCTGGCCCCATATATGAACTAGTTTTACTCTTTTTTTTGGTTCGGCGGCCATACTAGGCTCAGTGCTCTTATGATCACTGTATGCTTCCAGCAGGGCTCAGGGAGCCATGCGGTGCTGGGGACCAAACCAGAGCTCCTATAAGCAAAGCTCCAACCCACTGAACTATCTCCTCGGACCTTCTTTCTTTTTTCAGGTTTGGGACACACCCAGAGGTGCTCATGGGCAACTCCAAGACTAGTCGTTAGGGATCGCTTCCAGCAGTGCTCAGGGGACCATGTGATGCTGGGGATCAAACCGAGGGTTCCTGCATGCAAAGCATGCGCTCCAGCCATTTAAGCCATTCCTCCAGTCCCTTTTTATTTTTCTTACTGATCTGAAAATGCATCTTAATTGTCTAAGTGTCTGGCATCTTGCCATGTTCACTATAAGCTCACTCCAGTTCCCAAGGAAGTATCCAAAAAGTCCCTCTTAGGGTCTGAGCTATAGTATAGTGAGTAGTACTACTGCTTGCCTTGCACACAGCCAATCTGCGTTCGATCCCAGGCATCGCATATGGTCCCTCAAACCCATCAAGAATAATCCCTGAGTGCAGAACCAGGAGCAAGCCCTAAACATAGCCAGGTGTGGCCCCAAAACCCAAAAAAAATTTTAATGAAATTAAAAGCCCCTCTCAGAACCAAGAAGGGAGCAAGAGGAAACTCACACAAGTCCAGCGTTTCTCTGAAGCTGCTTTCTCAACCATACAAATTCACGGTAGCGGCGGCGCACACAGGATGTCTTGGCCGTAAAGGCCTTGCTATTGGTCTGCAGGAGGAAGTATGGAAGAAAGTTAAGGGCAAGAAAAGGCAAGTCCATATAAACTCCTTAGCATCACACTCATGGAGAACCCCAAAGCCCCCAGGCCCCAGTTCTAATCTGGGGCACCAACTAGAGCAAGGAGCCATTGGGAGGCCTAAAAGCAATGCTCAAGCACACCCCAAGAGCTCTCTCCTCCCCTTGTTTTCCCCCTTCTGTCCTGAGCCTGTCCAATCATCCACAAACAATTCCAGTCTAAGCCCTGGAGAGCTGACCCCAATACAAAAGCTTAATGCACTTACGTGAAGGAATATCTTATAGTCCACATAAGAATTCCAGGAGCCCTCATTCTGCACACGGGGGTCCTGAACACGCACAGTAGTCACCTCCTGCAAGTACGAAACGCTCCTTTAGCTTTGGCTCAGTCACAGAGTGACGCAGCTCGGACAAAAGAACAGGTTGTCAGATTTTCCCCACTCAACACTAGTTTCTACTCATTTATACATTCATTCACTTAACTCACATTACATCAAAAAAAAAATTTTTTTTTACACACCCAGAGGTGCTGGGTCCTACACTCGCTCTGTGCTCCAAGTCTACCCCCACCCCGATCTCCTGCCTGCAGAGCCTGTGCTCAGCCTGTTGAACGCTCTCCCCAGCCCCAACAAATATTCATTGACCCCTCTCCCCCACTAGGTATCAGGCACTGGGAGTAAGAGATGAAGAGACCAGAATCCTTGCCTTGATGAAGCTCACAGTTTAGTACATTCCAATAAAAGAAGTGAGCTAAATGGAATTTATTTCCTGGTGAGGCCTTTCCTACTGATTCCCTTCTCCGGGCTTCATTCTGAGCTCATTAGAATCACCAAGATATTACTTTACTGTCCAAAGCCACCACTGAACAATGATTTCCATCTTTTCTTTCTTTCTTTCTTTCTTTCTTTCTTTCTTTCTTTCTTTTCCTTTCTTGGTGGTTAAGCCACACCCAGCTGTGCACAGGACTTACTCTGTGCTTGGAAGTGATCAGGGCAGTGATGAGGAATTAAACCAGGGTTGGCTGCATGCAAGGCAAGCACCTTAACCCTTGTTCTCTCTCTCTCTCTCTCTCTCTCTCTCTCTCTCTCTCTCTCTCTCTCTCTCTCTCTCAGGCCCATGATTTACATCTTATCCCAAACCCTTGCTCCAGTTTTTACCCACCTGATCCTTGGAGACCACACTCTTACCTCCTGTTCTTCGTTCTCCAACATCCTACACCAAAAGCGCATTAGAAGAACACATCTGATGAGGGGCAGAGGACACAGCAATAATCACGGTTAGCAAGATTCACTCAGAATACTCTACCAGGAAAATCCCTGAAAATTTAATCAACACCCTAACCCCTGGGGGAAACCCAAGCAACTTTTTTTGTTCTTGTGTAAAACTGAAGAGGAAGCAAAAAACTTCCTCACATCAGATCAGGGCCAAGCTAAAAGTCCTAGGGGTTCTGCTTCTCTTCTTAGATGCTTAACTCAAAGATACCTCTACCCCAAATCTGTTGGGTTTAGGCTGGAGCAATCATACAAAAGGTAGGGTGTTTGCCTTTCACACAGCCATCCACGGTTCCATCCCTGGTACCCCCTATGATCACCCAAGCCTGCTAGGAGTGATCCCTGAGCACAGCCAAAAAAAAAAAAAAAAAGTCTATTGCGTTCAGCGCAGTGTCTCAAGCAACAAGAACAGGTAGATTATAAAAAGATTCTTCTCTAGGAGTCAGTGAGACAGTATAGCAAGTAAGGCACTTGCCTTGCACACAGCCAACCTGGGTACCTGGGTTCAATCCCCAGTATCCCATATGGTCACCAGGGCCCCGCCAGGAGTAATCCCTGAGCTCAGAGCCCCAAATATGTCCTTAATACCACCCGTGTGACCCAAAAAAATTTTTTAAAATAAATAAATAAATAACCATTCTAAGGACTGTAGGCCAAGCAGTGTCTTGTGGTCTTGTGGGCCCAGAGCTCAGCTTTGCAAGTGCGTCTAACATCGCCCCCTCCTGGCTAACTCCATATAGCTAAGTCCCCACAAACCCACACACCCATGTTTGTCTTTGGCTAAGCAGTCACCTCCCCTGAGATTCCCAGAGCGGCAGCACTCCACAGCACCAGAGTAGATTGCCCAGTTCCAGCCTCCCCTTATCAAATCACCCTCTGGAACCCGAGCCAATGGTTCTAATCATTTCCTCTCTCGGCATCCCATCCGGTTTGTACCTCTGCCCAAGCGCCCCGCAGCTGCACAGGTCGACTCAGGATATTTTCTGCTCCTTTGTAAAGATTCATTAAAGCCTAAGCCCTGATTTCCCCCAATGTGGCAGTTTACATGTGCAGCGACATCGCCCACTTCGACAAGGGGACCATGAAGCCTGCAGCACAGGGTTACTCAAGTCCAAAGGGGCCCATGATGTCACCTTCTGTTAAAATACAGCACTAATCTTGTTACTCCTAGAACCACTCCAACAACATCCACCCTGGCGGCTGCCTCCACCCCCTTCTCCTCTCTTAAGAGCGAAACAATAAGGTTTAATTTCCCTTTCCAATTTACCTTGAAATGAAAACTGACTTCAGCCAATATGTACTGCCAACAAATGATCCGGGATGGCTCCTGGGAAAACAAGACTATCTCTAAGCTCTCCCTCTCCTCCCCCCATGCCCATTCACACACCCACTCATTCTTTACTGTCTCACAATTAATTTTAAACACATTCTCTTATTAGTTCTGCCTCACCATTAGGAGAGGGTGTAATGCGTCCCCTTCTACTTTATGTTTTGCAAACAAAGGCTAACGTTTCAAGAAAGAAGGGAAACTCATTTACACCACGAAATTAGCAGCTCCAACGGCTTCTGTAATTCTTTCCAGTATACCAGAAGGTCGCTCCACACACAGACAGGGCATGCAGAGACAGAGCCGCATGCTATATGATAAAATGGGGCAGCACTGTGGAGCAAATCAAAGGTTGAATGAATACAATACAATCTTCAGCAGTATTCTTGCTGACAATCTGATTTTTCATCTGATACCGTACCCGCTGATCACAAAAGGGTTCAGAGCTGAAAGGCAGGAAATTCCAATTCCATAACAACCCAGGCAGAACGTCCTGAATATAAGCAGTCTAAATAGCTGTGACCGAAAAAGAACAGGCTGACTCACTGTGAACAATTAACTTTGTATGTTTTTTGAAAACTTATTCAAAGGTTTAAGAGATGTAGAGCAGGTAAGATGTTTGACTTGCATGCATCTGACCTGGGTTTGATCCCTGGCATAGGGAACATAAGGTCCCCTAAGTCCCACCAGGAGTGACCTCTGAGCACAAAGTCAGGAGTAAGCCCTAGCACAGCCAGGTGTGGCTCAAAGCACACACACATAGACACACACCCAAGTATTCATTCTCTTCTACTCAGGGATTTGGTAAAAAACTGCCAGCATAGAAGTTGGAGCATTAAATATTCTAAAGTGAAAGTGTCTTTTCACAAAATCAGTATGGGAGAGATGAAGATAAGAAAATAACACTATGTTATTATATAACATTGTAACAGTATATAATAAACATTACACTGTACTGTCCTCCCATTGCTCACTGATTTGCTGGAGGTGGGCCAGTAACTTCTCCATTGTGAGACTTGTTGTTACTGTGTTTGCATATCGAATGCATCACGGATAGCTTGCCAGGCTTTGCGTGTGGGTGAGATACTCTCGGGAGCTTGCCAGGCTCTCCAAGAGGGGCGGAGGAATCGAACTCAGGTCGGTCAAGTTGGCTGTGTGCAAGGCAAACACTCTATCCACTGTGCTATAGCTCCAGCCCATGTAATATTATATAATAGTATAAATGAGTGTATAGTCATCTCTAAGCTCAGAGGAGCTCATTTACCTCCCAAAGTTTGAAACAAAATTTAGTAACATTATCTTGGGCTCAAGAAGAGTTGTCTAGAACACTGAGCCTAGTCCAAGCACAAGTTTTTCTTCTTTCCTTTAGGGTTAATGCCACTTAGAAATAAATAGCTATAAATTCACTTTAAGTTAAGGAAAAAAATCCCTAGACCCCTACTATGCTAATCTTAAAGATAAGTTGAAAGACACTCAGAGGGCTGGAGCGAAAAAATACAGCAAATAAAAAGCTTGCCTTGCATGTGGCCAACCCCAGGTGCAATCCTGGCACCAAATACTGACCCTTCCCCCTGCCCCAAGGCTGCCAGGAGTGATCCCTGAGCCCCCTCTCCTCCCCCACAAAAAAGACACTGAGACATCAGAGAGATTGCAAAACAATCAGGGCACTTGCCTTGCACGTGGCCAACCCAGGTTTGATTCCCAGCATCACACATGGTGCCCTGAGCCCTACCAGGAGTGATCCCTGAGCTCAGAGCTATAAGCAATGCTAGGTGTGCAACCTCCCATTCTGCCAAAAAAAAAAAAAAAGTTACTAAGAAAGTTTCAGTAATACTTCCCTTTAAAACTCTGCAAGTAGGGGGCTAGGAGATGGCTCAAAAGGCTTTGCATGTGAAAACCCTGGATTCAACACCAACCCCTGACTTTCCTTCATCCCTGCTCTTCAGCACCAAAACTAAAATAAACTCTGGAAGGAAGTATGACTGGGGAAGTAGCTCAAGACATACAGCACGGTTTACATTGCTTACATGTGTGCGGCTTTGCGTTGGATCCCCAGAACTGCAAAACAAAAAACCCTCTAGAACTAATACAAAAGCTTTGACTCCAGGAGCTGGAGAAATAATACAGTGGGTAGGGGTAGACTGCTTGCCTTGCACACGGCCAACCTACGTTCTATCCCTAGCATCACATATGTTCCCCCAAACCCTACCAGAAGTGATCACTGAGACCAGAGCCAGGAGTAAGACTTGAGCACCACCTGGTATGACCCCAAAACAAATCCTTTGACTCCAAGTAATAATTTCTAGGAAGCACTATTCTCCATCAGTTTCCTCCCCACACTTTAGGAGGAAATGAGGATCGGTTCTGTCTTGGGAGGAAAGGAGGAAGTTCTTAACTTTTGCTCTGTGGTCTGGGAGATGGATCTGGGGTTAACCAAATAAGGCCGGACAGTGACCCTCTCGGCTGTTTACCAACACAGTGCTGACCATGCTTCCCTGAGAGCCGTTCCCATTACATTTGAAGCTCACTTTACTTTCTTCACCTATAACATCACCATTTTCTCTGGGAGGAATTCACTAGTTTGCTGGTTACAAAGAAGATTCCTCAGCATTCTGATGCTGGGGCCAAAGCAATAATAGTACAGCAGGTAGAGTATTTGCCTTGCACCAACTGATCAGGGTTCAATTCCCAACATCCAATATGGTCCCACCAGAAGTAATCCCTGAGCATTTCAGGTGCGGCTCAAAAAAAGGGAAAAAAAAAAAAACTGAAAAGTTTTCCAATGCCACCACCATTCTAGGCAGCAAGTCAAGGTGCCAGCCCCACCATTTTCACTCCCATTTAAATTACTTCAAGAGACAAGTTTGGTGAAGAAATAAGACAGTGAGTAGGGCACTTGCCTTGTATGCTGCCAACACAGGTTCAATCCCAGGACCCCATATAATCCTCGAGACCTACTGGGGTGATTCCTAAGCACAAAGCCAGGAGTAAGCCCTGAGCACCACCAGATGTGCACCAATAAACAAACAAAAATACAAAAACAAATCAAAATGCAGGAGATGAGGAGAGAATAGGGGAGTATAAGGAGTGCTTAAGGTCCTGGGTTCAATCCTTAGTGCAGCATAATAACAAATAGGGGATAAAAAAAAGAGAGTGGCTGACACTCCCATCCGTGGGGGGGGGGGGGGGGGGAGTTGGATCACACCTAGTGATGCTCAGGGCTTATTCCTGGTTCTGCGCTCAAGGATCACTCCTGCACTCCTGGCGGGTCTCAGGAAACCAGATGTGTTGTCCGGGCTTATTCACCCCGGGTGTGCTTCGCGCAAGGCAAGCGCCCCCCTACCGGCTGCACTATTGCTCCGGCCCCTCCCATTCCTGCTCACTCGTGTTTGAGTCCCTGGCCAGACGGCAATTCCAAAGGCTCTTCTTACTCTGACCCCACAGGTGGAAGGGAAACTCCCATGTCTGACCAAGCTCTGTGCACTTCACCAGGCAGCACGCTCCCTCCTTTCGTCCAGGTTTGTGTAACTGGCTCCTCCTCCCACTGGTAAAATAAGTCACAACAGCGATCACAATCTAGCGCCAGCCTCTGGGGACCCCACGAGCTCCGGCTCCGGTGAACGCTCCCAAACACTGCGTCCAACTCCCTTTCCATTCCCAACAAAGTAGGAGTAAAAACAGCCACTGGGCCCTTCGCCTCCTTTAACGAGGAAGCTCGGGGGTGGAGGAAAAGGCGCTGTATACTTGAAACTCAACGTCAAAGCCGGGTTTCCGAGCGCCCGAGCACCTGCCTTCGCCCCGAGAGGGGAGAAACCCTTGCCTGGCGATGTCCGGTGTGGTCCCCATCCCGAGCCGCCACTGTTGACGCCTAAGCCCTGCGCCCTGACTTGAGTTCGCACCCACTCCCCGAAGCCCCCTCACCTGAAAGTCGAGCACCCACTTCCCAACGCGACACAGCCAGCGCCCCACCGCGGACGCGGAGTCGGGGCTTCTACTTCCGGGTGAGTTGCCGGCGTCCCGGTGCACGTTGGGAAACGGCTCCCGAAACGCCAATCCTGGGTGTCCGTGACGCCCCGCCCCTGCAAATCCCGGCGCCGAGAAGCTAGTCCTGCTCCCCGGGGGGGAGGGGGGGGCGCGGCTGCGTAGGTCCCCGGCTCCGGGCTGGAGTCAGGATTCCCTAAAACTCACCCGGGACTCCCTCGGCTGTAAATGAGCTCTGCCATCCAATCCAGGGCCACGTCCCGCCCATCGTTGTCAGGGTGGCCAATCAACGGCCAGGCTCGGGGTTGGGGCGGGGCGGGGCGGGCCCGGGGATGCGGAGGGATCGTCCTTTTTGTTTGCGTTTTGCATAGGGCGGTCTTAAGTGCGAAAGAAGCCGCCCACGTTTGGAACGCCTAGGTAATTCCCCAGAGAATTCCCTTGAGAGCACAGATCCGTACTGTTTCTCTGCAGAACTATCTAGGGGACTCCCAGTAAGATTCGTAAAGCCACAGTGTTCGAAAGCCGAACTGGGAACTTCCAACCCGGTTTCAATCTCTGAAACGATTTCGAAGAAAATTCTTGCAGCCTAGAAGAAGGAAAAATTGGTTTCACAGAAAGAATATCCTTCAACAACTTGTTTTATAATTTTTAATCGTTGGAACCACATTCGGCAGTGTTCAGGGGCTACTCAGAGGTCAACCCTGGCAATGCTGATGGACTACATATGGTAGTAGTACATAAGGTAGTACTACATAACAGTACATATGGTAGTACTACATAAGGCAAGGCAAGTGCCTTAACCACCTGTATATCTTTCCAGATCCTTAATAACTTATTTCGTTTATTTATCTTTTCCTTTTTGGGGCCCCAGCTATGTTCAGGACTTACTCCTGTCTCTGTTCTCAATGATCATTCACATGGGTGCTCAGGGGACCATATGTGGTGCCAGGGATCTGAATTCTGCTGCTTTCAAGGGACACGCTTTACCCCTGTACTAACTCTCTGGCTCTTTCAGGAGGGTTGGGGGAGTGGGGGGGCACACCAGGACATGCCCAGAGCTTACTCTTGGCTCTGAGCTCAAGGATCACTCATGGCGAGATTCAGGGGATCATCTGGGGTGATAGGGATACAACCCTAATTGCCTGCTTGCAAGGCAAGTGCCCTAACTGCTGTACTATGGCTCTGAAATCCTCTGGGCCAATGTTATAGGGGATGGAGAGACAGTTCAACTAATTGTAGCACATGCTTTGCATACACTAGGCCAGGATTTGATTCCCTAACTTCATGGTCCCCAGAGAACTGCCAGGAAGATCCCTGAGTACTGAGTTGGGAATAGGCCCTTGAACACTGCTCAGTGTTGAATCAGGAGCCATTGGGTCAACCCTAGTGAGTAAAGATACCAGGAAGACACTGCTATCCCCTAAGGAATTTTACTCTATTTTACTCTATATGAAGGCATGCAAGGCAAGCCTCAACTCCTGTACTTTCTCCCTAACCAAACAACCCAACATAATTTCTGTTGATATAACTTTGCTCCTGCTTTCTTATACCTCTAATTTTTTTTTTTGTAGAACTGTCTGGTTCATGAATTTGTTGTTGTTGCTGCTGCTAGGCCACATCTAGCAATGCTTAAGGGTTATTTCTGGCTCTTCACTCTGGGATCACTTCTGGCAGGCTTAGGGGACCAAATGGGATGCTAGGGATTGAACTCAGGTTGGCTGCATGCAAGTCAAGTGCCCTATCCTCTGTACTATTACTCAGCTCCCAATTATATATTATTCACTTAAATACCAATAGTTATAATATCATAATATGATATCAAATAATATTGAATAGTTAACTATTCTGTGTCGAATAATTAGTGTTGATATGATTAATATTGGGTTGGAGTGGTAGCACAATGGGTAGGGCGTTTGCCTTGCATGCGGCCGACCCAGTCCACCCAGGTTCAATTTCTCCGCCCCTCTCCGAGAGCCCGGCAAGCTACTGAGAATATCTCACCAGCACGGCAAAGCCTGGCAAGCTACCTGTAACGTATACGATATGCCAAACACAATAACAAGTCTCACAATGGAGACTTTACTGGGCCCGCTTGAGCAAATCGATGAACAACGGGAGGTCAGTGCTACAGTGCTATGATTAATATTAATTGATCAATATAATTAGTTGTTTGGTGTTGAATAATAAATAATAGATTATTCAATCATTACTTATTGAAAAAAATCAACTGATTAGCTAAAATGTATTCACTTGATTTAGTTTGGTTTTGGTTTTGGATCATATCTGCAGTTCTGGATGCTACTCCCAAGACTGTTGTATGGGGGTTACTTCCCTCCAAGGGGGTGCTTGGGAGATCATAGGTGTAAGGGATCTATCCTAGCTTTCCAAATACAAAGCATGCCCTCCAGCCTTTTGAAATATCTTTGGGCCCTTATTTTTGTGTTGGGGGGGGGCACACCTAGTAATGCTCAGGATTTATTCCTAGCTCTGCACTCAGGGGACCATATGGGATGCTGGGTATAGAAATTGGGACAGCCTCGTACAAGGCAAGCAGCGAACAAGTGATAATTTCTTAAAATGGCAGTTCTGGGCTAAACAGAGAGCTTAATGGGCTATGCATATACCTTGCATGTTAGAGGCCTAGGTTTGACCCCCAGTACCACATGATTCCTTAAGCATTTCTGGGAGCAGATCCCTGCCCCCCTACCCCCAGCAACAAATCTGGTGTAGCCCCTGAACATTTCCTGTTGTTGGCCCTCCACCCTCAAAAAGAACCTGATTTTTTCTTGTATTGTGGAAAGTGAATACAAAGACTCATGTATGCTTAGCAAATACTCTACTGCTAAGCTACATCGTGAGTTCAGACACTTCCACACTTCTCTCCTACCCACCCAGTACTTCATGGTCACACCTGTCATTGCTGTAGAGGATAGATGGGGACCATGTAGTGAGTGCTAGAGATCAAAACTGAGTGTTCGCAAAGCGTGCAGTCCAATCTTTGAGATATCTCCCATCCCACATCAAGGATAGTAAAATACTATGGCTCTGGTCCATTTTATTTATGTGCCAGTCAAAACTACAATGATGACACTAGGGGCTGAAGAAATAGTTCAATGGGCTGAATGAGTGTATGCAGAGATCACTAGCAAGGTATCATATGCTATCCCAAGCACCATTGAAAACAATTCTCAGCACAGAACCGGAAGAAAATCCTAATCGCTTCCAGGTGTGACTCAAAAGTCGAACAAAGTTGGGGCCTGAGAGAGAGAGAGTACAATGGGTAAGATAAGCTTGCCTTGCATGCAGTCAACCTGGATTCAATCCCCAGAATCCCATATGGTCCCTCAGCACTGTTAGGAGGGATTTCTGAGTGCAGAATCAGGAGTAACCCCTGAACCAGGATGGCCCAAACTTCCCACCCCCCAAATCCTTCAAAGAATAAAGAAAAATATAAAACTAAAAGTGGGAGAGGGCAGAGAGACAGTATAGTGGGCAGTGTGCTTGCACATGGCCAACCTGGGTTCAATCCCTGGCATTGCATATGGAGCCCCCAACCCATCCACGAGTGATCCCAGAGCACAGAGCTAGGAGTAAGACCTGAGCACTGCCAGTGTGGCCCTAAAATAAAAAGACAGAGATAGCAAGTAGGACATTTGCCTTGCATGTGGCCAACCAAGTTTCCATCCCCAGCATCCCATATGTCCTTTGAGTTACTGTCAGGAGGGGATCCTGAATGCAAAGTGAGAAGTAACCCAGAGCATTGCCAGGTATTGCCCCCTCACCCAAAATAAGACAAATGAGCATTGCCCCCTCACCCAAAATAAGACAAATGAGAATGCTTGTTAACCTCAGTGAATAAATCTTTTTTTTTTCTTTTTGGGTCACACCCAGCGATGCACAAGGGTTACTCCTGGCTTTGCACTCAGGAATTACTCCTGGCAGTGCTCAGGGGACCATATGGGATGCTGGGAATCGAACCCAGGTCGACTGCGTGCAAGGCAAACACCCTACCCACTGTACTATCGTTCCAGCCCCATGAATAAATCTTTAATGATAGAATTTAGACAGTCATCATTGGGTCTGGAGCAATAGCACAGACAGAAGGGCGTTTGCCTTGCATGTAATTGGCCTGGGTTCGATCCTCAGCATGCCATATGGTCCCCAGAGCACCACCAGGAGTGTAGAGCCAGGAGTAACTCCTGAGCATTGCCAGGCGTGGTCCAAAAGCAAACAAAAGAATTTAGGTAGTAATCAAATGAAATAATCTTACACCCTATGAGGCTAGCTACTATTTAAAAAAAAAAAAGTCCCATGAGGAAGTGAAGAATTGGAACCCTTGTGCATTTACTTGGTGGGAATGACAAGCGGTGAGGTCTCTGTAGGGAAGTGAAGCTAAAAATTTAAAAATAAATTTACTGTGGGGAGTTGGAGAGTTAGTACAGACGGAAGGATGCTTGTCAAGCACGCAGCCAACCCAGATTTAATGCATGACATCTCATATAGTCCCTTGAGCACTGCCAGGAGTGATCTCTAAGCATAGATCCAGGAGTCAGCACTGAATACAGCTGGGTGTATTCTACCCACCCCCCCTAAAAAAAAATATCCCAGGGTCCAGAGAGATATTATAGCAAATAAGATGCTTGCCTTGCAGTCAACTTGGATTCTATCCTCAGCACCACATATGGGTTCCCCAAGCAACAACAGGAGTCATCCCTGAGCACAGAATCAAGAGTAAGCCTTGAACATCATTGGGTGTGACCCAAAAAACAAAAGATAACATAAGAATTACTGGGTCAAGGCCATAATTCAATGACTACAATACATACTTTGCATGCTGAATGGCCAGGTTTGATTCCTGTTGCCTCATGGACCATCACACACTACTAGGAGCAACCCCTGAACAATGAGCTGGAAGTAGCCCCTGAGCACTGCTGGGTGTGGCCAAGAAAATAGAATTGTCATATGATCCAGCAGTTCTGAACATATCACTGTCACTGTTCTCCTGTTGTTCATCGATTTGCTCGAGCGGGCACCAGTAACGTCTCCATTGTGAGACTTGTTACTGTTTTTGGCATATCAAATATGCCATGGGGAGCTTGCCAGGCTCTGCCATGCCTTGCAGGATACTCTTG